GTTCTGGTAAGCAGAGTTGACCATCAGTTGATGCGGCACAGCAGTCATCTTGTGATTAGCGGGAATGGTGTTGTGGGGATCTGCAGTGTGACTTATCCTCGGGTATCTGGCTTCCCTAAGAATGGTAGGGGAGTTCCTGTTCTTCCCTGAGGTAATGCAGGGCTGGTAACCATCATCTTCTCACTGTCCATAGGTAGAGAAAATCCTTCTATACAGTATATTTCTCAATTGGTTTAAGACAGCTAAAGATTCTTTCTGTTGCTTATAGTTTTAAGTTCTTAATCCTTGTTTTCGGCTTCAGCTTGCTGGCCCAGAGGCCACACGACCACCCCGGAGAGGGGGCGCGGGGCCCGGGGGGGACGCGCTGAGCCCGGGAGGGCCCGCGCAGGTCCCGCCACCGGTCGCAGCCATGGCGCGGGGCCCCCCTCCCCAAAGTCTTAAGAGATCTCTAGGCCCTACTTCCTTTTTTGTATTTTATAGATACCACTCCACTTCTGCCTGTGGTACCCAGAGCTTTTATCTTACTGTAACTTCAGAAAGAGAAAAGCTGATAGCTTCCTGTCATGATCTTATTGCATTCTTAGGTTTGAGATGCTTGACGCTGCCAAGAACAAACTCCGGGTGAAGGTCAGCTATGTAATGATTGCCCTAACGGTGGCAGGTTGCATTTTCATGATTATCGAGGGTAAGAAGGTAAGACTGAGTTTCTTTTCTCTCTGTGTATGGACCTGAAGGGAAGCAGATTTTGACCCTTATATTTACAGGCTGAGAAGAGGCTACTTGCTGCATGAGAAATCATTTAAAAAAAATAAATAAAAAATGACCCAGAGAGATGACCCAGCATATCATGCTTGGGGAAAAGGAATAAGTCGTAACTTTGGTAGGTGAAGAAGGACTAAATTAGTTTTGTGTAAAGTAAAAAAAAAAGATGATCACAGTATCATAAATAATATGAAATAAGAACTACGACATTGCCATACTAAAAGACTCTTTCTCATGTTTATAAAGCACACTCAGTAAACAAGCTTGTTTGCTCTTACTGCTAACTGCCTTAGTCGTGGTGAGAATTCTTACCAGTCTTTTATTTGAAGCCAGCCAAACAAGGCCATGTCTGAGGACCCTAGCTCCTAAGTAGCAGGGATGCAAATCCAGAAATCTTTAACACAGTTATAATGAACAGCTGTCACTAATTAAATTCTACTTTCCAGGTACTTTGTTAGCTAATTATCTCAATAATTGTAAGATAAGTACTATTAGTAATACTTCATTTATAGGTGAGGAAACTATAGCTTAGAAAGCTTTAGTAACTTGCCCATGGCCACATACCTTCCTAATGACAGCCACAATTTGAGCTTAGACCTGTTTAACAGTAAGATTAATAGTAAGTATTTATGATATAGTAGGTACTATTAAACTTAATCACCACAGTAACCTCAAGAACCTAAGATAGGTTCTCTTACAGTGTTTTATAAAGAAGGAAAGTAATGCTTAGCAGTGTTAAATACTTAGCTAGATAGTGGTGAGATAAATTTAGATAAATTTGTGGTTATCATACCTCATACTATACTATCTTACATAGTTACTTTTTATATTGAGCAGTACTGGTTACACCCTTTTAATCCTATGTCTCATTCTATATATTAACAGCTTTTTTGTGGAAAATCCTATAATAGTCTTCACTCCTCTTATACCAAATAGGGCTTTGGGAATCCCAGACTTCACCAAACTATCGTCAAAGACCGTTTTGGGGTATTAAAAACTTTCTACACACCCACTGTATTGACTTCCATATTCCAGTGACTGCAGAGTAAAAGGAAATGAACTTTCAGCTCTCTTTGGACTCTAGCAGTTAAATGGAAATACTGACCAATTTAGGCTGATCTCATGGGAGTACTGTGGGTCAAATGTGCTGACCTGGACGAAGTTCTTTTGAAAACTGGCTGTTCTACATCCGTCTGTCTTCTGTCTCCCTCTTTGACGTTTCCTACATAGTTCTCAGATTGAAATCTGCAGAAACATGCAGACAGGACATAACAGTTTCTAGAATTCCAAGAAATCTGCACTGGTTTTTTGTTTTTTAAAATAATTATATAAGCCAAGTTTAAACACTCCATAAGGGCAAACTCTTCCTCTGGGAGCTCTTCTAGCACCATCCATGGGTATGTGCAGTGAGCTCAAGAGAGTTCCTTTTTTATTCTATACCATAAAACTGTAATATTTTCTTTTATGGAATTTCCATTTCCGAAAAGTTGGTGAAGGCTACTGGAAGAATGAAGATTTACAAACTGATTGCAATTTAGAAGAGAGAAATATACCATTATGTTTTTCTTCACCAATAAATTCCAAATTTCTCTTTCTACTGTCTCCCCCCAATACTAATTTTTTTTACAAGATATAAGAAAATACCAGTTTATAAGGTGCTAGATTTACTTATTTGGCATGAACTTTTTTTTTTTTTTTTAGAGGTTTTTGCTATAGGGCGTGTGTGCTCGCCAGAAAGAGAGAGAGAGACAGAAAGTGAGAAATCACCTCCCAGGGAGGATGGCTATGCCACAATCCCTTCTCCTCCATCCTCCTCTCGGGATCTTGGGCAGGCACGCACATGTGCCCAGCATGAATTTAAGCCACCAGGTCTGGAACTCGAACTGCAGTTGACTACATGGGAGTTCAGCAACATAGCCATTATGCCAATTGCTGGTCCCTGGCATGAACATTTTGAAATTGGTCTGTTTATGTAAGCTCCATAAAAATATAACAGGTCACATGAAGGGAAATAAGGGAAGAAGATGGTAGCCTCCCCCAACATTTGTTTGTTCTCAGAAGATGTAGGATGGTACTCCTGGAAGTCATCAGCAGTAGTAGTTGGGTGAAATCTGAGTTTCCCAAAGCCCTTTTTGGTACAAGAGTGAAGAGCTAGACAGGAGTAAAAAGTACACAAATGAGTTGGGGAAGGAGAATTGGTAGCAAAAGTAAAAAGAAGAGTGAAAGAAAAGAGGGATAGAAATAGAAATGAGAAAGTATTTAACACAGAAGAAAATAGGGGAATAAAGAGAAGAAAAAGAAAGGAAAGAGAAAGAAATATAAAGGACGAAGAAAGCTGTAAGATTTAAAGAAAGGAGGGAGAGGCGTGGCAGTTCTGTCTCATCTTGCATGGATGGGCCACTGAATAAGCAGGCTTGGGGCAAGAAGGCCTGGGGAGCAGACCCCTTCTCACCTGTGTTCCCTGCTGTCCTCACTACCAGGTAGCCACTCCCCCGCCAAGCTAGCATAAATAACCACTTGATGACATTCATTTCACTTTAGGCTGCTGGAAGAAATGAGTCTTTAACAAGCTTGAACTTGGAAAAGAAAGCTCGTCTGAGAGAGGAAGCAGCTATGAAGGCCAAAACTGAGTAGCAGAGGTATCCATGTTGGCTAGATTTTGAAAATCCAGAAATAATGTTGCAGCAAAAGTCTGTATTAAAAATGTGTGAGGATTCATGTCACAAGAGTATATATTACGCACACACCATTTCACTACATTTGTTCTACAGGTACAAATAAATTTTCTTAAAGAATGACTTGTCTTTTATGATGTTAATCTGTGTAGAATTTAGCCTCCCAGCTTTTTGTAGAAAATGAAAAACAGGACAACTTATTTTAACCATAGTATTAATTATTCTTGAGGATTAGGTGCCATATCTTACTTTTATTCCCATTATCAAAGTGACTTCTCTCCAGAGGCTAACATATAAAATAATTCCTAGTTTTTTTATTTTTCTCTCTCTTCTGTATATTCACTTCTGTAGAGAAAAGGCCAGGGAGGTGCTACCCAGGTGCGTGTTGGAAAACTAGCCTTTCCAAATGCCATGTGCTTTCAGGATGCTAGCTCCCAAAAGAGCCTAGAGAGGCAGCCAGCCCATTGCTGTTTATCTTCAGGCATGCTGGCACATGGAGGCTTTTAAGAGGGCAGTGTTTGAAACAGTCCTGGCAAAGTGATGAGAGTGATCTGGCCAGAAGTATCTGAGCATTGAGAAATCCCAGGATCATGTTCTTAAGCCAGTGCAGCCACCTTTTAGCTCCATGGCTTAAAATTCCCAACTGGTCTTTTTTCCTGCCACCTGAGAAACTATATCTCTTTAACTATACAAATCTAATGTATGCAGTTGTTAGTGCTAAAAGATAAGATTGCACCTAGTGTGTACTTCATTTACAGTTTTGACTTTGAGATACCAACTTGTCTCATATTTAGGTATGGATGCTGGTTTCTGTTTAAACCTTTCCTTTATTCTCACATTTCATGTACGAGTCGGTAATGCCATCCCAGCGTGCTAATTCTCATAGGGTTATTAACAAAGATGAAAAAGTAATGTATGCAGCTGTTTGACAATTTAGTTTAATAAACTACTCAGTAAAATGTACACACTACTCATAATCTGATGATGTTAACAATGACTGTCTATACTTAATTCAACCTTTGCTTCTTTTTAGGTATCAAGTTTTTAAATTTTTATTACTTGCAAAATGATCAAAAAGCATCATTTCTTGTAGAGTTTAGAAGATTAGTTTTTCTTGACTATTTTGGAACACGTGAACCTATGTTTTAAATAAGGGTGAATTTTAATGTGGTACTTCTTTTAAAAATAAGTAATCATTATTCATAGAACTGTATCATTTTAACTTCAGAACATTTAAAATTGTACCTTAGAGATTTAATAAAATGTTTTGTTGAATTAAAACTCACAGCTGTTATCATGCACCAAGAACTTACACAATCCTGGGACCAGCAGATGGCGTAATGGTTATATCACTGGATTCCTATCCAGGACTGTGGTTCAAGTCCTGGACCCAGCAGCTTAAAACCCAGGCTGGGTACATGTGTGTGTGTGCCCAAAATCCTGAGAGGAGATTGGAGAAGGGATTGTGGCATGGCCATCCCCCTTGGGAGGGTGATTTCTTATTTCTAGTCTCTCTGTCTCTCCAGCGAGTGCACACACCCTATAGCAAAAACCTCTCTAAAATAAAATAAAAAGAATTTATGTAATCCTGTCTCATCTTGTGTCATTCTCCTATTAAATAATGTATGATTACCCCTTTATAGCTTAAATACAACCCTGGCCAGAATTTTCTTTCTTTTTTTTTTTTTAAGAGAGATTTTTGCTATAGGGTACATGTGCTTGCGGGAGAGGCAGAGAGAGACAAAAAGGAAGAAATCACCCTCCCAGGGTGATTTCTCCCACATACACACATGCATCTGGCTTGTTTTTCAAGCCACCAGGGTCAGGAGTTGAACCTTAGCTATGTGAAACCACCTCCCTTAATCATTAGGCTATGGGGATAGCCAGCCCCTTCCAAGGACTTTTAATCAACATAATGATAGTTTGTGGAATTTAATTACTAATATTTATTCAAAGAGTGAATGAAGTTGTGGTATCATTCACGAAACATTTCTCAAGTCTCTTCTCTTTTACTTTCAATTTGTCAAAGGGCACACATGCTAGTGGGGCCAAGGGGATAGAGAAAGCACCTCACATGGGAGATGATCATGCTACAGTCTCTTCTCTACCTCTCCCACCTTTTGGAATTTTGGGCATACATGCACATATACCCTGTGTTTTTTCAAGGTGCTGAATCTGGGAAATTAACCATGTGGTCAGCCATGTGGGATCCAGCCACCTTAATCACACTTACTACCAGCTGGCCCTTGAGTCCCTTCTCCAAAAGTATACAGATGAATAAGACATACTTCCTAATTCCATAGGGCTCACAATCTATTAGAAACACAGCTCATGAAACCATTACATTACAAATTAGTACATAATACAATCTGACACTTAAGCCATAGAAAGCAGCAGGAAAACCTGACTTAGCTGTCAGCTATGGCAGCATATACTAGAAAGCAGTCTCATCATTCAGACATTTAGCTTGCCTAAAAAACGTTAAGATAGCACAATCTAAGGTTGTGAGAAATTCTTCAGTAAAATATCATTCTGTTTTGTTTTCATTTTTCTTGATAAACCTTAAAATATCTAGGTTCTTAGGATGAACCTAACCATGACTTATTTTTCCAGATTTACAGATCTGAATCCAAGGAACTGTTTCATGTTCCAACATGTAAGATTTCACCAAAAGTGTATGAGTGGGATCTTGACATGTAGCTGTAACCTTCTATTATTATTGCAGGTTTATGCCCATTGATCTGATCTCCCAAACCAGAAGCCCTGTAGTTAGTTCAAACTCCTTTGCTCCCCTCTTCCAATCAGTTCATCCTATCTTGTCAGCCTTACTTTTAACTATTTCTCAAACACACTGAGCCTCTAGGAAAATTACTGAGGTGAGTACAATGGGAAACTCTTCAGAGACAGACTGCGGAGATTAATAACTGGCCTCAAGATTAGAGGTCAGAAGCTCTAGGTTCTAACTTATTTTTCCCATGGTCACATTTTGTAATTAGGTTATAAATCTGAAAATCTTATAACTGGGAGACTATTTGAAAATAAAATAGAAAACCATGCCAAACATGTAAGAGAAACTATCTTTTAAAATATCGTTTTTCCCAACTTGGTTCTATTACAGGTCTCAAAGTGCTTGGGACCAAAAGTATATTGGACTTTTTCAGATTTTGGAATATTTTCATGTACGTAATATACCTTGGAGACAGGACCTAAGTCTAAACATGAACATCATATTGTTTCACAAGACGCTTAAAGGTAATTAACAGAATATTTTGGTATTGCAACATTTTGACTGACCTCTCACACAGAGTCAGAGTTTTCTATTGGGTTGCTAGAAAAGTCATAACACATTTTTTGTTTTGATATAAAATAGCATCATGATTTTTCCAACAGCCTAATACTTGTGGCAGCATCATGTTGAAATTCAGAGTTTCAGATTTTGTATTTTGAATTTTCAGATTAGGGACACTCAACCTGGACATGATTTCCAAAAGATTTAGTTAGCAGTTACTCATCCACAATTTAATTGTTTTGTCATTTTCTAAAGCTGCTGATGCAATGATGTTTTCAGTAGGATGACAAGCTGCTGCAATCACAACATCAGTGTGTCCCTGTAATTTCTGTACAATCTCTTTAGTTTGAAGATTCCAAATGTAAACCAGGTTATCCTCTGAACCACATACAATCCACTTTCCACCAGTAACTGAAAAACTGGCAAATACACAGTATTTTTCATTCTTATGACCAGTGTATGTCTTCAGGCATCTGCCTCTGCTATAATCCCACAGTTTGAGAGTATTGTCCAAAGTTGCAGTGAGGATGTATTTTCCATTTGGAGAAAATTTCACAAAAGAGACGGGAGGGTTATCATCTTCAACAAGTGTTTTTAAACACTGACCTGATGCAGCATCCCAGATTCTACAGAGACCATCATAGCTACCTGACACTATCAAAGACCCACTACAATTGAAATGGACAGCAGAAACTGGATCAGAATGAGCAGACAAAGTTTTGAGGCACTTTCCTGTTTTCACTTCCCATATTTTTACACTCTCATCAAAAGATCCTGAAATGATGAGGTTGGATGGCGGATTGAAATTACAACAAAAGACATAATTACTGTGCCCCTTCAGTGTTTTCAAACATTTTCCAGATGTCACATCCCATATCTTTAATGTTTTATCGTCTGAGGCAGAAACAAGACGACTGGAATCTGATGACCAGGCAACATCTGATATTTCTAGATTGTGACCGTACAGTGTTTTCTCACATTGGCCATCATATACTCCCCAAATTTTAACTAGTTTATCAGCGGAAGAACTTGCTAGCCATTCTCCATTAGGACTAAACTTAACCGACGAGACTGCTTCTGTATGTCCCACGAGAGTAAACTTCAGGGCATAGTTTGGTTTTTGCGGCATTTCCTTGCTCGGACCCGCTGATGAGAGGGCTGCCTGTGCTTTGGCATCTCCTGACTCCTCTGCTGCCATGGCTCTGAAGACCCAAGTCGGTAGGTTGGTGAGGCATCCGGGCCGGAACCAGTCAGTACAGTATTTTGGTTTTCTGCGCAGCAAAATGAAAAAAACGATTCAAAAACAAGTTTTTTTGTGACTGACTTCTGGGTGTCCATAAATTATGACATAGACTAAATTAGCACGGCTTGGACCTCTTGCTTTACGTGTTCCTCTTAAATACTTGAGGAATACTACTAAAGGGGCCCTGTGCGCGTCGGTAAGTAAAGTACTAACTAACGCTGGGTATTCCGTTCATGTAGAAAGCCGCCCGAACGCAGGCGGGGCGACCCGGATCCCTAAGGATAGTATTTTTCCACTCCCTTCCCCCCAGCTCCGAAACGCCTGTGAACGCTAACAACCTAGTCAGGCAGGTACGAGGTAGGGACGCGCTGCCGCCTTAAGCGCACTTCCTCAGCGGAAAGACCTACGGGATTGGAGGCCCGCCCCTCCAGGGTACCTGGTGGAGATACCCACGGGTCTGCACCGCCGCGTCAACCTGTCGACCAAGCTAGTGCCACAACCCGGCGCATGTGCAAAGACAGCCCCTTCCCACGGTCACTTCCGGGCCCAGGCATCCAATGGGTCACGCCTGCCTGCGCCTGCGCAAAAGGAGGCACCAAGGTCTCCTTCCGAGCCTTTCAAGTACCAAAGCGGCTCCTGTCGCGGGTCAGTGAGAAGCTGGGGAGGGTTTGTCCCAGACCTGATGGGCCAGTATGAAGCCGAGGCTATTTATTTAAAAGAACGTTCATTTCTTGTGGAGAACTGCCACGGGAAACCGGAATGTGCTGATGTCCCTTAGACACAGGCGAAGGTCCGCATTCCGCTCTCAGGCTGCACGCATTTCGGAAGCGCAGCTGACCTCGAACCACCAGACGAGGACTTGGGCACCTGGTGTAGGCTCCTGCTTTGCAGGTGGCTTTCCTTCTGCTGTTTGCTGTGTCGCCACACCTGCTGGTGTTCGGGCCTGCAGCCATCAATGTCGTGATGAGGCGGCAATGGGAGTGACAGAATTTAAGCCCAATCTATACAATTTACTGGTTTAGGGCCTCGCAGGTGGTGTGGTGGTAAAGGCGCTGGACTCACATGGTTGACCACAGTTCGAGTCCCGGACCTGTCGGCTTGTTTCCCTCCCCTTCCCTCTCCCTCTCTTCCCCCCGCCCCCACACCCGAGTCTCTGTCAAAATAATAAAATTAAATGACTACTTTAAGGAATAACACCTTACTGGTTTAAGTTTTCCCTTTGAACGTGAGCAAGAATAGTCTGTTAGGGACCTTTACAAGTCAGTGTTAGGCTAGCAGTGGTGATTAAGGTGCATGGATCCCACATGACGAGGTTCGAATCTAGACCCTGCAGCTTGAAATGCATGCTGGGCGCATGTGGTGCCTGCCCAAAATCCCTAAAGGAGGGTGTGAGAGGGGATGGCAGTGACTATGCCCCATACTAGGTACTTTCTCAGTTTCCCTTCTCCAGTAAGTGCCAGCACTCTGGCAAAGGGGGAAGAATAAGCCATACTGGAGAAATGACCAAACATTTGTTTTTACACTTGCATTTAAGTTTCAGAGAAAATTAAGTTCAGATCTCCTAAAGATACCTGAGACAAAGGTTGCTGAAATGAGCTAAGACATGGATTAAGGTAAAATTATGCCTTAGCGTGCTTTTTCTAGTTTTTAAGGAATGATTGATGGCTGCATAAATCTGTAAATTGTACATACTATTCAGATACTACTTTCTTTTAAATAATAGATTTACCCCAAACTAGAAGCCTAAGTTTCTCCATCATTGTAATTGCTAAATAAATAATGTCCATGGGAGACCAGCAGTTGGCGTAATGGCTATGTTGCTGAACTCCCATGTAGTTGACTGTGGTTTGAGTCCCGGACCTGGTGGCTTAAACTCACACTGGACCCGTACACGTGCATGCCCAAGATCCCGAGAGGAGAATGGAGGAGAAGGGATTGCAATGTGGCCATCTCCCCTGGGGGGTGATTTCTTGCTTTCTGTCTTTCTGTCTCTGTCTTTCTGGCGAGCACAACCGCCTTATAGCAAAAACCTCTCCAAAAATACAAAGAATGCCCATGAGCCACTAGGTGGCATGGTTGAGGCATTGAACTTCCCACATGTCTGACCATGGTTAGAGTCCCAGACCTGGTGGCTTGCTTTCTCACTTTCCCTCTCTCTGTGAGCATATGTGAAATAATAATAAAATTAAAATAATTCTTAAAAAAATACAAAGAGAATGCCCAGAGTGTTGTTTAAAAGATTTTGCCAGGAGTGGAAGGAGGCAAATATGTTTTCTGTCACTCAAGAATTAAAAGCATGTGGAAACAAAAGGCACATTTATCAGGGATAATGGAAAATACTGCCTTTATAAGGCACAACAGACATAATGAGGTTATCTACAATAAATCCACCATAGTAACCCTCTCACTCTAAGGCCCCATTACTCTAGTTTGTAATTTAGACAGAAACTGGCCAGATGCTTTACTTGTAATCTTACTGCAAATTAATAGTATGAACACAATGAGGAGGTCCTAGAGTGAGAAGAACATCTCTCTCTCTCTCTCTTTTTTTTTTTTTTTTTGGCTATAGGGCGCGTGAGCTTGCCAAACAGAGACAGAGAGACAGCAGAAAGTGAGAAATCACCCCCCAGAGGCAATGGCCACACCTCAATCTCTTCTCCGTTCTCCTCTAGGGATCTTGAGCATGCATGCACACGTGCGAGGCGCGAGTTTTAAGCCACTGAGTCCAGGACGCAAACCGCGGTTGACTACATGGGAGTCCAGCAACATAGCCATTACACTAACTGCTGGTCCCTTGGGAAGAACATCTTTAAGATGGTTTGGGACCACCCATTTATATTAAACTATAATTGTTCTTAGCCATTTATTAAAGCAAGTTCTCTCTGTGACATCCTGAAAAGAGGAAAAACGAAGTTTTCCTTCAACATATCTTAAAGTTCAATTCTGACCAAACCCTGCCTCTTTTCTTTTTCCTCCCATTAGGCTAGATTAGAACAATTTTTGTTGGAACACTTAGGAACTCTAAATTGGGTATCAACTAGAACTATTTCCATTTTTATTCATAAAAGTAAATTTAAAAGTAAATTGGAGGGCCCAACAGCCATGGCATGCCCTGAGATGCTGAGCTCCACAGGCTGGGATCAAATGTGCAGTCTGGGCTAGACTTCTGGCCCAACCTACACCCCAGATATGGTGGTTACTATCTCTAGTAACCTCCTCTGAGGCAGGAGGATCACAAGCTCAAGGCCAACATCAGCAACAAAGTTTGACCATGTCTAAAAAGTGCTAGGCTTGGTGATGTGCTGGTGGTTGCAGCTGGAAAGCTCAAGTGGGAGATCAAGGGGAAAATAAACCCTAAAAAATTTCAGAGGGGGCCAACAGGTGGCATGGTGGTTAAGGCAACTGGAGTCCTGACCCAGCAGCGGCTTGAAAATTAGGCTGGGCTAATTTGGCGTAATAGCTATGTCACTGGACTCCCATGTCATCAACTGCAACTTGAGTCCCGGACCCGATTGTTTAAACTCACGCTGGGCACGTGTGCGTGCGTGCCCAGGATCCCGAGAGGAGAATGGAGAAAGGATTGCGGCGTGGCCTTTTCCTCTGAGGGGGTGATTTCTCACTTTCTCTCTTTCTGGCAAGCGCACATGCCCTATAGCAAAAACCTCTCCAAAAAAGAAAGAAAGAAAGAAAGAAAATTAGGCTGGGCGCGTGTGCCTATGCATCCAAGATCCCTAGGGAAGACTGGAGGGAGACTGCAGCATGGCCATCCCCACTTATGGGTGGTCTCTCTGTCTCTCTCCATGATGGGTGCACATACCCTATAATAAAACTAAAAGAATCAGTCAGAGAATTGAGCTTAGGCTTTCAAGTTATTGAAATAAATCTGCATTTTTTTCCAATAGCTGTTTTATGTGCTAAGAGTAAAGAGAAAATAAGATAAAGTGAATATGTGGCATAAGGGCTAGGGTGGAGTGTTAGTGCCACTACAGATATGAGGAACAATGAGGGCACAATGAACATGTTGACAGAGGGCTGGCTATGCAGCACAGCGCTAATGTATTGCTCAAGAGTAGCCGGACCCCACACGGTAACTGTAGATCGAATTCCGACCAGGTCAGCCTAGAACAGGCTGGGCATGTCCATGGGTGTGCAGAATCACCAGGGGTCGAAAGATGGGAGTGTGGTGTGGTAGGACTGAGGGCGTTCCTATGTGTTAATCAGAAGAGAGAAATTTACAAATGAAAGACGAGGGTAAGGGGAGAGAAAAAGAAAGGGAAAAAAAATGTACCTGGCTGAAAGAGGGGTGTCTGGCTTGGGAGTCCCGGGGCTGAAGCTACGGGGGGCAGTCCTCCCTCAAAGTTCCTGGTCCAGGGGTCGAAAGATGGGAGTGTCCACAATTTATTTCCTAAGTGTGAGTCAGAGCACGGAATACTGATCCAGGTAAATCTAAAGAGGCAGAAATCAGAGATTTCTATTCTGGGTTTTCGAAATTTCTTGCAGTTCCCCTTTTAGACATGTTTTTGCTGTCTTTACCAACGAGGTGATTTGGAAGTTTCTCCCCTAGAAATCAAGTACATTTCTTTAAATTTCCAATAGACATCTTAGATTTGAGGAAGTCTGTCACTATATTTGGAAGATTTCCTTTGCCTGACAGTAAAGTTAGCAAAATCCTAAATATAAATGTTGCCACGAGTTTTTTAAATTGCCAGGGGACATGTGCACTCGCCATTGCAGGAGACAGAGGGAGTGAGAGAGGACCCTGTACAGGGAGTGGTCAGGCTGCAATTCTTCTCCATCTCTCCCTCTCCTTACTTTTGGGACTTGGGGCATGCACACACACCTGGCATGTTTTCCAAGTGCCAGGTCTGGGACTCCAACTGCACCATCAGCCAAGCGGGGTCCGGATCCAGCTGACCCAACTA